ACATATGCATATATATACACATATGCATATATATATAACAACTTATATTTGGTCATATCTTTAACTTAATTGTATTGTATTGCAATAATGTGCACCTTTTGTAAAGCTGCTTTGAATCAATTTTATAAAATAAAATGATTAAAAGCACTATGTAAATATACTAGAATTAAATTGAACTAATAATAATAATAACAATTAAATAGGCTTGACCGTTGCACTGTGTGTATACACCATTGAGGACTGTTTTAAAGTAGAATGTGTGTGTGTGTGTGTGTTTGTGTGTGTGCAGGAGCGGACAGGAGTGAAGATGATCATGATTCAGGACGACCCCATGCCCACCGGATCAGACAAACCCTTGAGAATCTCCGGAGACCCCTATAAAGTGCAGGTGTGTATGTGTGTACTTGTTTATGTGGTTTACAAGGACATAAATGTGTATAATGCCATGGGTATGAGTTAGTTGGACTGTATTAATGTGGTTTATGAGGACATGCATTGTGCTGTTGTAACTCAAAATGCTTAAAAATCATACTCAACAGGTTAACAGGGTCTTTTGGACTAGAATTATGGTTTGCTGTGAGGGTAGGAGTGAAGAAGGACCATATAAGCAGCTGCCTTTACTTTGTTTTATAAAATACATCACGCCTATGGAGAGTCTTCATAAAACACATGCTATAAGTGTGTGTCAGGGTTTCCGCTGGGTCTTAAAATGTGTTAAATTTCAAAAACTGTATTTTAGGCCTTAAATTCACTGAAATCTTGTGTTATAGGCCTTTTCATCAATCATTTTAAATGCAACTTAATTTTTTCGATCTCATTGTAAAGCTACACAATTGGGCCGATATGCATTCAATCACCAACAATGCATACTTTTACCAAACCTTCTGGACAGACTGTTGTTCATACATTTAGTTTATTATAGTTTTTAAGTAAAACTATGTAAACATTTTTAAAGAGAGCATGTATACAGCGAGGGTTTGTTTGTTTTGATGCATTATTTAAAATATGTGGATAGGAACTTTTGTTGATAAGGCAAGTAAAAATGTTTTCCATTGGATCAAGTGGGACATTAGAGAAAAATTCATAGCGTTTAGTCCTGTATATGTCTAAAATTTAGTTCCTAATGGTCTCAAAAAGGTCTTTTAAAGTCTTGGTGAATCATTCAATTCTTGAGTTTCAATCTAGTGTATTCAAGGTTCTTAAATTGTGTTGCTTGCATAATTCATCGTACTAAGCAGGTAATGCGCTTGTTAAGTTTTCGTTGTTTTCGGGTCCAAGCCGCCATTCACTTGAGTGGAGAAATTATTCGTTTATGATCACTTTTTATTCCTATCACACATTAAAGTTAATTTTATATAAAATCATAGTGTACACAACAATCTCTGGGCTTGCTGCATAACAAATACCAAACTTTTAACAATTTATAAAACAATGAATCACTTTCTGGCCATCGGATATTAGGCATGGACATATATATTGCGATCGTGACTTTCGAAACTATTAAATCGCTTTGTAAACGTTTATGATTACCATTTCATGAATCTCCCCATACAGTTGAATAGAGCACTTGGACCCGGAAGCCGCTCTGTGTGACTTCACACTTAACAAGCGGATAATAAACTGTTTCAGTAAAATAAAATCAATGTTTTTGCTTTTGCATAAAAAACAAAGAAACTCTGGAGTCTGCGCTTGTGCCTGCAGCGTGTCTTTTTCATCTGCACTCTGCAAAATGAAAATAAATATAAGTGTAACATGAAAGATACCTGCACTGTAAAACCCAACAGTCAACTTTATCAATTGAAATGAGTGTAGTTAACTCAAAATTGACTGAAAGTTAATTCTACTCATTTGAAAAGAGTTTTGAACTCAGTGTTGAAGATAATGAGGTAATTAAACACGTCATTACTTCAACTTAAATAGAGGAAGTTCACAGTACTCGTATAGCAGCCTACTATCAAGTAGTAGCCGGCAGCTAGCTCTCTGCAACTCTCACATGGTCGCCCACTGAAGCT